ATAAAAGATATATATATATATATATATATATATATATATATATATATATATATATATATATATAAATTTGTATGGCACTTTTTTGGTATAGAATATGATTAAAAAAATAATGACCTTTTTTATATTTAAATATTTTTTAACTATAAATTTTCTATTATACGTTCACAGCTTGTTTGGAGGGTTGTTATGTATCGTTTCATGACGTATCGTACAATATTGTATTATGTTGTATTGTATTGTTTTGATATATATAATATTTAGATAGATTGTATTATTTTCCGTCGTTTCATGATGTCATGCACCAACAATATGAAAAATAAAACTTACAATATTATAAAGAAAAAGTAAAGTACGAAGTGGAATTATTATATAAAAAGGCTGTGTAAAAGATAAAATAAGATTACTTAATAATATGGGAGGGTAAGATGAGATAAAAAAATAAAGGAACAACGCGACCACACCAAATCAGTCATTTCAAAAAATGGCACTTTTTGTTGGACGGATTTAACGATACGATACAATATAATTTAAATAACAATTAAAATAAAAATTATATTTAATGTACCAATACAAATACAATACAATACAACTAGTAACAAACATTGAAACAAGCTGTTAATGACATACTAATCTTATGAGTATAGAAATCTCGTTGCATATTTAAGATTCGGCGAAGGGCCAAATATACCCCTGTACTTTCGAAAATGGTCTAAAAATACCTCTCATTATACTATTGGGCTATATATACCCTTCCCGTCATACTTTGGAACAAGTATACCCTTATTTTGGATAGAGTGCCATGTGTCAGCACCAGATGAAAACGACCAATTTCTTTTTTTTTTTTTACCCGATCCGTTTTAAAAAATCCGTCACCCGACCCGTTTTAAAATTCAGTTTTTTTAAAGCATATATTTTATAAAAATTGGAATTTTTTTTTTTGTAAAAACTGAAAAAAAAGAAATTTGCAAAATATATATTTTTAAGTCTTTTCAGTTTTTTTAAAGTATTTTTTTTGTAAAAACTGAAAAAAAATATATTTTTTTAAAATGCTTTAAAAACTAAAAAATATATATTCTGTAAAAACTGAAAAAAAAAATTGCAAAATATATATTTTTAAGTCTTTTCAGTTTTTTTAAAATATTTATTTTTTATAAAACTGAAAAAAATATATATATTTTAAAAAAAAAAAAAAAGACTCTCCTAAATCAGTGGACTATATATGTATTAGTTTTAAAAAAATAAAAATATTTTGCAAATTTTATTTTTTTTAGTTTTTACAAAAAAAATATTTTAAAAAACTGAAAAAACTGAAAATATATATTTTGCAAATTCCTTTTTTTTTTTTCAATAATACCTTAAAAAAAACTGAAAAGACTTAAAAATATATATTTTACAAATTCCTTTTTTTTTTTTTTAGTTTTTACAAAATATATGCTTTAAAAAAAAACTGAATTATAAAACGGGTCGGGTGATGGGTTTTTTAAAACGGATCGGGTTAAAAAAATGGGTCGTTTTCATCTGGTTCTGACACGTGGCACTCCATCCAAAATAAGAGTATATTTGTTCCAAAGTATGATGGGAAGGGTATATATAGCCCAATAATATAACAAGAGATATTTTTAGATCATTTTCGAAAGTACAAGGGTATATTTGGCCCTTCGCCGTTTAAGATTTCATACTGTAAGAATACTTTGATTTGTATAAAAAAATCCTTCGTTCTTTTTTAATTTTGCATCCAATCAAATATTGTTATATAAAATAATAATATTTACAAAAGATAGAACTCCTAATAAGAAACTTTTACCTAAAAACTGATAGACGTTATTTTTTTCCTTTTCAACAAAAAATATTTTTAATAATTCAAGACGACCAAAGGGCTTAGCATTCCATTTTTTTTTTTTGTAAAAAGTTATTTTTTTCTACTAAAATTATTGGCTATAGAAGATCACTTTCCTCTCTTGATTTTGCGTTTGACATAGCGTGGAGAGGCACGAAAAATACTTTAAAAAGAGAAAAGAGGTACTCACCTATTAAAACGATATATATTTTGTGTGTTATTGTCGAACAATTTTTATTTTGTTTTTAACTGCCCATGGCAGGGAAGGGTCCGAAGGTGGGACCCTAATCTCAATCCTGTGGGTCTGAAGGTGGGACCCACTCCACTTTCAATAATCACCATATGTAAATTGTAATGCAAGATAAATTAAATACTTTTACTACATGTGACTGCTGACTTATCCACATTCCACAGAAGTACCATAAATTCATGTTTAATCATCATAAGAAATTCATAAGAAATAGTACGTTATTAGTTTCTTCGAACAGTCAAAAAATTAATAAGTTGACTGGACTAGACTGTGTTTAATTCTCCACATGGCCCCTATTACAGAGAATGTTCGGTTCTTGAGTGTGAAGTTCGAAAATGGAGGAATCTGGGACCTCATACGCTTCGGCGTATGGGGAGATAAAGAAAGTGGTGCTAAGTTTCTTGAATATTCTAGTACCGGTGATCATGTAGTTGAAGAAGAAGAAGAGTTACTGCGCGACGACGATGAGGTGGCAGATCATAGATGGGTTATATTTGTGTCGATTTTAGTGAGGAAGATATTGAAGGTTTTTGGCAAGCCAATGGAACGGACTGGCTTTTTTCTGGAGTTTATGCTGAATCTCTTCTCTCTCAATGGCAGCAGCTTTCTTGGCTTACTTTACAATATCTGGCATGGTAATGATTCCATATTCATTCACTTCTTTCCTTTTTCTTGAAGCTCTTATATATACATACATGTACATCTTTAGGTTATTAGGTATGCATGTATATGTTTAATGCGGACTATATATTGAGAATATAAAGAGTTTTTATGGTTAGTGCAATTTAACCGGCTTATTTATGTTGAAGCGTGTGATCACACATTTCAACATGGTATTAGAGTAGACAGAGAGATCCTGGTTCGAGTCTCACCACCACCCAATATCAAAATAAAAATTCACGTGCTTGGCTCATAAAAATTAAGAATCAAGCCCGCACGTGAGTAGGCGTGTTGAAGACAAAATTAAGTAAATAAAAGTGTGTGACTCTCTAACATGGTCACACATTTCGACAATTCTACCTGCAAGTAGCCTTCTTCCAAGTAACTAGTTCAACAGTAATTTGTCATGATTATAGTTATCTGTAGTGACCCGATAGCGTAAAAAAAATGTTTTACATTAATGTTGATGTATAGAAGCTAAGCTCATTTAATATATGTAGATATATTGATACACTTATACACCCCACACACAAACTTTACATGAATATATGAATTAGTTTGTGTGTTTGTTATATAATTTTACATGTATATAGTGCTATGTAGTTGAGGATTTACAGTAAGAGTTAAGAATCTTTGTTCATGAGTTGTATAACAAATATCACACGTTCCATTTGGTGCCGATTTTGCTTTCAATGATATAAAAGTAGCTTTTCTAATTCTGATTCTAAAGTACAAATGTTGCAAGGAAACAGGAAAGCTGATTATACCACAGAGAGGTTCTGAAACTTTCATAAGTAGTATTGGCCATGTAGATGGGCGCATAAACTTATACAAGACTGAAATTTTAACCAAGGAAATTGATCAACCTGATTTCGGACACAGACCTCTTATGGACCTATGTATGATGGCTTCAAAGTTGGCCTATGAGAATGAAAAAGTTGTTAGGGATGTTGTAAATCTTCACTGGAAGGTATACTTTAGCTTGTTTATTATTTTCTTTACCATTTTTGTGGTACTATTTTTACATTTGCTGATCCAAGATGATGCTTTATGTTTACATTCTTTCCCACAAAACAGATGCATTTCGTTGATTTTTACAACTGCTGGAATGGTGAGAACTCAAGTTGTATTGTTAATTTTCAAAAGATTTAACACTTGTGATTGTATGAATATTTGCTCTCTTCCTCTGTGTGTTTATTGGGACAGATTACCAGAAAGAGAGGTCCACACAAGTATTTATATTATGCGATAAGCCAAAAGATGCAAACTTGATTTTGATCAGCTTTAGAGGTACAGAGCCATTTGATGCTGATGATTGGATCACTGATTTTGACTACTCTTGGTATGAGATTCCGAAATTGGGAAAAGTACACATGGGATTTTTAGAGGCTTTAGGTTTAGGAAACAGAGGAAATACGTCCACGTTTCACGAACAACTCTTCGTTAAAAATGCAAAATATACCAATTCAGAGAATGTTGATCCAAACAGTGGATCAGACCAATCCTCCTCCGACTCAGAGCAGTCGCCAAACAAGACCGCTTACTATGCTGTTAGAAACAAACTCAAAAGTTTATTAAAGGAGCACGAGAATGCTAAATTTGTCGTTACAGGTCATAGCTTAGGAGGAGCGTTGGCTATACTATTTCCTACGATGCTAGTGATGCACGAGGAAGTGAAAGTCATGCAACGATTATTGGGTGTATACACGTACGGGCAACCTAGGATCGGGAATAGGCAGTTAGGGAAGTTTATGGAAGCACATTTGGAACATCCAGTGCCTAAGTACTTTAGAGTTGTTTATTGCAATGATCTTGTTCCGAGGTTACCTTATGATGATAAAACATTCCTGTATAAGCATTTTGGTATTTGCATGTATTACAACAGCTTATACATTGAGCAGGTAAACATCAATGCCTTATTGTCTGCATTTATCTCCTTTTTTGTCTTCTGAATGCTGCTGTAAATTTATTTACTTTTCATCTCTCAGAAAGTAGATGAAGAACCAAACAGGAACTTTTTTGGGCTGCGATTCGTGTTACCAGTGTATCTGAATGCTGGTTGGGAGTTCATTAGAAGCTTCACCAATGGTTACATATATGGATCAGAGTACAAGGAGAGTTGGGATTCAGTACTGCTTCGGTTTGTAGGCCTTTTTGTTCCAGGCATTTCTGCTCACAGTCCAGTTGATTATGTGAACTCCATAAGACTTGGAAGGGAGAGAAGTATTCAAATGTCATCCTTTTAGAAATTACTATTACTTGATGGAAATGAATCGATAAGGTTGATTTTATTATGAGTTTTGTACTGCAGCACTAGTATCAAATGTTGTTGATTTTGAAGGTCTCTTTTAGCATTTATGTCTTGAAAATAAACTCATTAGAGTTTTTGTTATCTTGAATAATGTTATATGTTAATAAGGTAGGAGTACGGTCTTTGTAATCACTACCCATCCTAGACCCCACATGTGGGAATATACTGGGCATATTATTGTTGTTGTTTACACATCAATTTTAGGTGTTGTAATGCAAGAATTGTTGCACCAGTTATGAGTTTTCGACTGAATGTATTAATAAGATGACATTCAAAGGGTTGTAGATTGGATTTGTTCCTGTAACATTATTGAATAAATCTTATTTCAATGATTACATGTTAGATATGTTTGAATATGAAGATGAATTGCATCAGTTGAGTTTTTATTCTACAAATCTTCAGCCAGGAAACAAGTACTTATCTGTGATCAGTTAAAACTGAAACTAAAATGTTCAAAATGGTTTACATCCATATATCAGTATTCCCTTTTGGATGTTACCTGCCTTAAAAATAAAATGAGAAAACTGTTCTTTCCGAAAATCTGCCAAAAGATTATGAAATTTCAGAAACTGAATTAGTAAACAGATTAAATGCCCCTTATTATGGAGCTTTATTATCACAGATTTGATTTGGTTTTAGCTGTCATATAAAGTGGTACAACAAATTAAAAGCAAGACACAATGTCCCAGGATTATCTTGACTTCCCTCGTAGAAACCTCAATTAGAAACACCCTCGACATGGTTGGTACATAAGATCATGAACATCATTGTCTCTTGACATGTCTCTCGTGGAACGCATGAAATAAGATTTACTCTGAGACAGCATCATTAGATAAGTTTGTTATAGGAAGAGATGGGGTCTGTTGCTCGCAGATTCAAACTGTATAAGCCGTTTGAATTTTGTTAAAGTCCAGATTCTTAAGTCTTGCTACTGATTCAATATGACCTCTCAATGTATACAACTCTCTTAGCCTGCAAAAATTTTTATACACATAGAAGATCAGCCAAGCAGTGCATTCAACTGTCAGTTTGAAAGCACAACGTCCCAAATAGAGAGAAGGTAAAACCTTACCGAACCAAGAAATTTAACTTAGTCGTTGAAAATTAACGTGAGACTTAGTGACGAAGCCAGTAATTTTCCTAAGTGTGTCCAAACTTGAAAGAAGTAAAAAAATTCCCGACAAAAGGTGTTCAATCTATGTTATATACCTCTAAAACCTAATATTTTACTTATATACCCAGTGTAATTTTCTGACGAAGGGCCTTACTAGAGTGTAGCTTCGCCCCTGGTGAGACTACATGTCATTTAACCATGGCTAAGTGAAAAATGTGTGTATGCAAGACACCTGTCTTTCATTCATTGGTTTGATGTTAACGCCGGATGCGGATAAGATCTGTCAAGACAATGTATTTAGGAGACCTGGTTATTTCTGCTCGACGCTTAGCTTGTTCAGCAATCATAGAAGGTCCCCTGCTTTTAGTTTCAAACTCAGGTGATATTACCCCTTGTAGAGTTCTCACAGAAAGCACCCACTTGGCCTCTCTGTCTTCCTTTCCATAGTCCTTTTTAGATGTAAAAGCAGTCTATCCAAATCAAAAAAGAAAAGAGAAATGAATGACTGTAAACTAAGAAATCATAGTCTTTGCATCTAATGACAATGAAATCCAAAAATTTTCTGCTGACCTTATCAAAAAGTAGGTTCCAGGCTTCTCCAGTCAGACCAAAACGAACAATGAATTTAATTATATCTAAGGGAATATAGAAAATAAGACTATATAACCATATGACTCCTGCCCATCCCCAGCCGATGCCACTAATTGACGCAAATTCAATATGTGCATAAACTGCTATCAAGGTAGCAACCTGTACAAACAAAAAACAACATGTTTAAACTCAAACAATGAATGGAGTTGGGAGTTATAAATTTGGTAGCCCTTACCAGTTGGGCAACCACAAATGCAAACATCAAAAGAAGCGCTGGTCTCTCTATAAATGACCAACTCTGACTGCGCGTGACAAATATTAGCGCCTGGCTAATAATACTGACTTGCAGATATATGGCTGCTGAGATTTCTTCAGTATTTCCACTTATAGATTTTACATGGAAGTGAGTCTACATGTAATAAATAGTTAACTAAGTAATTGAACGAAGTAACTGAAGTTAGAAAAACTAAGAATAATGATACCTCAAAGAATTGAGTGCTGTCTGCAAGCCAGTAAAACAACACAGTAACTAAAGCAAGATAGGTGCCAATCACAATGCCAGTTGCAAAGATCTCGTTAAGCTTCCAACTGTCGGGTCCTGGAGATGGTTTAACGCGATCTTTCGAAATAGTCATGATAGTACCTATCAATAAAGCAGAGAAAAATATGAATTGCATCATGACCTTGCTATGCTTTCAGATAGGTGTAAGTCTAAGGAGAAACAGACAGAAGCGAGGAACTATGTGTGGTAATAAGGATTACAACAAGTCCTTCCCGAATAAATTCATATAAAAAAAAGGGCAGCCCGGTGTACTAAGCTCCCGCTATGCGTTGGGTTTGGGGAAGGGCCGGACCACAAGGGTCTATTGTACGCAGCCTTACTCTGCATTTCTGCAAGAGACTTTTTCCACGACTCAAACCCGTGACCTCCTGGTCACATGACAACAGTGGTGGACGCACGTGGTGGCAAACTGAACCCGCTTCATCAAAAAATAATACTGTGTATATGTATAAATTAGGATTAAAGTTGCGTAAATTTTGTATAAATATTTTATTTGAACCCACTTGATAACTACTATTTTACGACTAAAGTTATGTCCTTCTAAGATTGAACCCGCTTGCACAAAATCCTGGGTCCGCCACTGCATGGCAACAACTTTAACAGTTACGCCAAGGCTCCCTTCCCCGAATAAATTCGTATAAGATTTTGATTTTGGTGCTCCCTTAGTTATCTTTCTTGTTTAATATGAACTTCTAAAATAAATAGCCATAGGATAAAACCTTACCATCATTTAGGATTGCAATTATCAGTACCATGAATGGAGGAAAGTCATATTCCCATATTAGTGCCAGAAGCATGAAACCAAGCTGCAGAAAACATAAGGTTTATCGCATATGATCATAAAGTTAAGACTATCGAAATAGCTAAAAATAAAACAGTTAACAGGAACTCGATGCTTTACCACAATTCGTATGGTTATGGAGACAGCATAAATCTGCATTATTAGGAGTAGCAACCCATTAAATGAAGTTAGAACGGCAAAGAGAGCAAATAAGATCTAGACAGGTGTATCGAAAACACACAAAATTGTGGATTTGACTTAACTGTATAATTTTTCATTCTTTGAAATATAGCCCTGCTAGTCAAAACAGCACTGACAATCACACTTAATCCAGGCTCAGTCAAGACAAGATCAGAAGCACTTCTAGCAGCATCAGTAGCATCAGCGACTGCTATACCAATATCTGCTTTCTTGAGAGCTGGGGCATCATTTACTCCATCACCAGTCATTCCAACTACGTGCTCGTTCGCTTGCAGGATCTTTACTATCTCATATTTATGTTCTGCGTATAATATGGGAAGAATAATTGACATGGAACAGAAAATGATTTTGAACAGCTATAGCACTAAAACAGAAGCAGAAGGAGAAGTTACTCTAAACTTGAAGAATGGATGATGCTACAATACTGTTTTGAAATTAAGGGGAATTAGGTATAGAACAACGTTGTTATACTTAGTCGAAATTACCAGGGAATACACCAGCAAAGCCATCTGCTTTTTCAATGAGCTCATCAACTGGTAAAGCTTCATTTTCATCCTTGTCACGACCAAACAATGAAAATGAGGGGTACATATTTGTTCCCATTCCAAGTCGTCGGCCTGTTTCCTTTGCAATGGCCAACTGGTCACCTGTTCTGGGCATAAAACAAGTTAAAATAGAACTTGTTCTACTAGCTGCCTAAATAGTCTTTTACTTTTCAAAAGAAAAATATGTCATGGACATGAACATTGAATGTTCTTCTAATGTTATTCTTCTATTTCGCTTTTCTTTTATATGTTCTAATCTTTGTTTTATAACTTTTTCTCCTGTCATCATATACTTCATCGTAAATATCCATGCCTATGCCATTTGTATTCCTCAGAAGAGATTGTAGGAAGTTTGCTAAAAAGAAAGTAAAATGAAATTTGACATGTTTCTGCTTTCCCCAATTAGGTGAACCATGATAAATATGAGAACTAACCATGTTATTATGTGTGCACATTAGCCGATTAATATTAAGTTATATACCTGTAATCATCTTAACGCAAACTCCTAAATTGAGTGCTCTGAGGATGGTCTCAGCACTATCATGCCTTGGTGGATCAAACAACGGAAGCAATCCACAAAATGCCCAAGGCCCGCCAGGACTCTCCTTCGAATTTTCTGGAATTTCCTACAATACTCATAGCATATAGAAGATATAATCTTTCTTACAGGATAATTGTAATGCTGAGAATAAGGAATGTATCATAAAATCCTATACATTGGCTCATGTATCTGGCTAGTTTTGATACAATAAATACAAAGATCAACCTTCCATTTGCATAATTTGTTTTTGTCAAATGTTTTTACATACTTACTAATCTCCACTTCAATTTTCATGGCAAACTGTAGTAACTATATTCAGTGACTTGTAAGTTGTAATAGTAAATAGACAAGGAAAACCATTACCTGAAAGGCAACAGCTAGAGAGCGTAACCCTCTTTCGGCAAACCTGTCAATGATTGCATGCATTTTTGCAGCTATCTGTTGCTTCTCTTGGCACAAATCCAGTATCTGAGTTTCAGGAGAAAAGGCAAACATGAAATAGAGGTAGTTATAAGGGCAATAATCATACCAAATTCTCAAGGAGACGGAAACATAAGCAGAAAGGAAACTTATATTATTCACTACAGACATGCATCCATTGGCTGAGAAAAGAGAAAATATGGCCAAATTTTATAGCTTCTTTCTGCTTTAATTTTCTCTTGGCAATTAGTAATAACTCAAAACAGTTTCCCGGAAAACTACTAATAATGTAAGTTTAATGTGATTATCAAATATTAGGTGCCAGTTACTTAGGCCAGAGAGATACCGTTGCTTTGAGAAAGGAGGTTAACAAACTGATCATAATAAACACAAAAACCTTAATCATTTAAATGACATCAGCACCTGTTCAGGAGCTCCTTTGCTAACTCGATACCACTTGCCATCTGAATCAATGTAGGTGATTGCAGTCCGTTTATCCACAGGATTGAATGGAAGGAAATGCACTTGCCTGATATTTGCACGCGCCTGCATATACGAATGTAACTATAATTTTTGTCGTAATGCCCTAAAAGCTATTCAAGAAACTCCGTCGCTAAAGAAATGATGAGGTCCCCAGAGGGCATTAGGCTTCACCTCCTTTGGATCAGCAAGCATGTTGATAATTGCTGCATCAATAGCGTCCTGATTTTCCAATCTTGATGCTCTAGCAGCAAGTAATACAACCATATCTTTGTCCATATCTCTTTGGAACACCTGTTTAGGAAAGGTTTTGATTAAAGAATCCACAGGAAGAGAAGTCAGATGAAAAAGTCGTGTACCTCAATGAGATTCCTATCGACAGTGAGGCGATTCAGGGTCAGCGTCCCTGTCTTGTCACTGCAGAGTACATCCATACCAGCCATCTCTTCAATTGCAGTCATCCTTTTTGTAATAGCTCCCTGAAGTTAACAAGGACAAAAAGTAAAAAAATTATTATAGAGTACAGTCCGAAGGCCAAATTACACGTTAGCTCTTGAGATCATTCGGATGAGATGTGATGCATTATTATTAGTCTAGAGAAGATAGACTAATTTCATGACATTTTCAGAATACTGACAAGCGTGTACCTGTTGAGAGAGTCGATGGGAGCCAATAGCGAGTGTAACTGATAGGACTGTTGGCATAGCTATTGGTATTCCACCAATTAAGAGAACAAGAAGGTTATTAATTCCAGTCCTATATGAACGACGCTGAACAGCGTACATGATAATGATTTCAAGTATCATTCCCACAGCTATTGAGCATATGCAGAAATTTCCAATGGAAGCAAGGACCTGCAGTGAAGCGTGCAAACTTTTAAATCAGGAAAAACTCGAGTAGAACAGCTTCTATTCTATCTCTACTCTCGGCTTCCTTCTCAGCATAACATGAAATTATCAAAATTGAAGAATTAAGAAAGAACTAAGTATCACTGAATTTTCTTTTCTAACCTTCTGGAAGTGACCACTGACTTCAGTAGAGTCAACGAGATGTGCAGCTTTTCCAAAGAATGAGTTAACTCCAGTGGCGATTACTACAGCTTCTATTTCTCCATGTTTACAAGTAGATCCAGAAAACACTTCATCTCCTGTCTTTTTCGTGACGGGTAGAGATTCCCCAGTAAGAGCTGACTGCAAGAAAACCGTATTAATTAACCATACTTAAGTAACAAAATTAAGTAACAAATTCCATATTCCAATAAACTAAAAGGCTGTCATGGTACTATTTGTCGAATAAGGAATTGCCTGATCAACTTTCAATGGATCTCCTTCGAGCAATCGAGCATCTGCAGGGATGATATCACCGAGCTTTATGCTAATGATGTCTCCTGGCACTAAAATAGCAGCATCTTTTTCTTGCCACCTCCCATCTCTAAGAACCTATATATATATATATATATGCAGAAAGGGGATATTTTACATTTTAATTATTTAGTATAACGCGACAAGATCACTGTGACAAGAGCAAACCTTAGTTCTAGGAGCTAAATGTGCCATTAGAGCTGCTGCAGCATTTCCAGCATTATTTTCCTCTATGAAACTAATTGTTGAATTTATCAACAACAGACAAAATATACCAACAAAGTCCTGCCAATCAGTACCTTGCCCCTGAAATTTCATGAACGAAAAAGATACTCCGATAAAGATCAGTATTGCAAGAAAAGTTGTAACTGATCAACTGCAAATCAATTTGTAGTAAACGTAAACTCACTCCGCCATTAGCTAGTCCAATAGCCATGATTGCTGCTGCTTCCATCACCCAAGACAATGGATTCCACATGAAACTAAGAAACTTAATAAACTTGTTCTCCTGCATCATTATATTAGTACCACTTTTATGATCTAGACAAGCATTCTACTTTCAAAGGCCAACTTTAAAATTAAAGCTGAAGTAGAGCATTATTAATGATTAGTTCTATTCAGTGTTCGACGATAACAAAATGTTTTAGAACAAATAGCTAGCATTCGCATTATTCTCATCTTTTTCTTCTGTGCAGCAATATAGTATTAATTAAAAAAACCACAAAAGTTGGCAAGGTGTACCATTGTCCTTATTTAGAAACTTACTCGCTTCTCTTCAAGCTTGTTAGGTCCAAAAATGTTGAGTCGTCGCTCTGCATCTTCAGCTGAAAGTCCTTCCTTCGATGTTATCAATTGTTCGAAAACTTCTTCAAGTGGCAAGTTTTCCTGCAACAAGTCATGTGAATACGATTAATATGGAACTGCTAAAGATGGAAAAAACGCAAGGAATGAAGTTGTGAAGTTATTTAGGTGTCCATATATCAATGTTAAGAGATACTATTATTAAACTCAAGTGTTGTCTTAATTACCAGATCAATCCCTTCCTTCATGAAATTTTCAGGACCTAGCAATGGTTTCTCCAGATCTTCAGCCATGTTTACTCTATGGAAACTGAAATTTACAAATAAGTAAATAATATCTTTGAGGATGAGGAAAAATAAAAGCATATTGAGAAAAAACTCCATTACCATGTCCAGCATGATTGATCTAATGCAGGTCGATTATGATATTTAGCTAGTCCATTTGTTCCGATTTATGTGGCACTCTTTCTTTCTTAATTTCTATATTCAGAAACTCCTTAAATTTGAACTTCCCATTTTACACCCAATGACATGCTCTTATCGCCACACAAATGTCATGGCATAACCAAGTTCTAAGGGTACCTTTGGTACGTGCCAAATATATATTTATTTCTTAAACTCCGTGCGTAATCATACACTACAATTTGTGCACAATTTTGTGCATAAGAAGAGGAAAGAAACATGGATACACACACACAGTCACACGCACACGCGCGCACACACTAAATCACTTCTCCATAAAGTGTGAAGAAAATAATACAAGCTATTTCCAGTGAGAACTTCATGCATATGATTGTAGCTGTAAATGGCACGGAAAAAAAGAACAAATAATACCTAGAAATTTCAAATCAAGTGTAAGACATTCATCTTTTATTATGCGTATGAAGATGACTCTTACACCATCAAAATTTAAATAAATATTTAAAAAAAAAAAAAACTTGATATGATCACTTACTTTAGAGTTTAGAGTGAAAAAAGCAGTAGGCTTATGAGACTAGTTTCTGAATCATGGGGGTTATTGTGAAAGGAATATTGTCGCTGTTACTATATGCCTTTTGGTGTTATTTATTAAGTACATAAATAAATGCTAACCATCTTTCACCACTTAACTTTCAAACCAAATAGTCCACTTTTAAGCCAACTTAACAACCTTTTTGACTCCCGCCTATAATTAATTTCCTTAGCATTTAAACCTGTCATGGTCATTCCCCTTCGCTTTCCATGTTTGAAAGTGCTCTTGGAGGTAAATAGGGCGAAGCGCAGCAATAACCACTTTTAAGCCCGCTATTTAAAATATATTCACAATTTACAATGTATTTAAAGATTAGCCAATTCACCCAAACTTCAGGACTAAGTATCCTGAATTTGGAAATTCAGGACTTAGTGTCCTGAAATTTTGAGCTGCTAATTTAAAATTCAGGACATAAGGTTATGCTACACATTTCTCAGGTGCAAATATTATAAACTTATGGGGATGATAATATCAGGAAAATGAAGGCAATTTGGTCTTTGCTTATGAACGATTTCTTAGACAGAACACCAACATGGAGGCTGAAACTTGGGCTTTGCTACATGGTTTTAAATGATGTAATTTGGAGCACGGTCTTCCTTGTATTTACCTATATAAATTTGATTCTATTACTTTTACCTTACCTTGTTCACTTAAGTAATATTGTTACACCAATTTGTATGCAGAATATAAAGCGAAGTTTGTATGCCAATCACCTCTTCTTAAATTGTGCAACACTAACAGCTTGTTTGGATGGTTGTTATTCACCGTTTCATAATGTATTGTATTACACTGTATTGTTTTGATATATACAATGTTGGGATAGATTGTATTATTTGCCGTTGATGGCATGCACCACCAATATGAAGAATAAAACTTGCAATATTACAAAGAAAAAGTAAGATACGAGATAAAATTATTATATAAAAAGGTAGGGTAAAAGATAAAATAAGATTATTTAATAATAAGGAAGGGCAAGATGAGAAAAAATAAATAAGGTAACGACGCGACTATACCGAATCGGCCGTTCCATAAAGTGGCACTTTTCGTCGTTATGTAACGACGGATTTAACTATACGATACAATAAAATTTAAGTAACAATCAAAACAAACATTGTATTTAAAGTAATAATACGATACAATATACATGTAACAACCATCCAAACAAGCTGTAACGTTCTATCCACTTTCCTGAGGGATCAAATTCGAACAGATAGCTCGGATAGCATAATAGCATCGTTATGTTATGTAAACAAACCAATCTTCTGCTCAAATCCTCAATGGTACTAATTACTTGATCAACTAAGGGATATGTCAAAACAACAACAGTTACAACAACAATACCAATTGGCAATTACATCAACAGAGCAACTGAACACCTGGAACATGTGAAAGAGGTAACAGCTGCTAATTGGGAAGTACCTAATCTAACCAGCATCACTGGCATATTTGAATAGTAACATCATTTATCAATCCAATCTTTGAAAAGAAGCATCATATATAGAGGGACATTAAAAGCTGCAACAATAATAATTATACTTAATGTCCGCACCAATCTCCTAATTACCATCTTTGTCTTTGATTTGTTTGTCCGAGGCTGTGCTTTTACCGCGGCATCTAATCCTATATGTAAAGTCACATCCGTGGGAATTGAGGCATCTGTTTCCTGTGCATTAGGTTTTCTGGCAACTGACCGCATGATAGCATTACCCCTGCATTGGAATAAAAGGCATCTAAACTTTTGCAAAGAAGAAAATTTATATTTCTATGAAACTTGACCATCAAATAAACTAAAATAAAGAGGCACCACATAGAGTACAGAAGTAAGAATGAGAACCATTGTACTGAAGTGACCATCACATGGATAACTTTCTTATCATGCAGAAATCAACAACATAAAATCAAATTTCTGAAAGAGAAAAAATTGAAGGACTACTACATGCCAAATTGCAGCATGGTATACTCCGCCATTGGCAGTAGACTTAGACACAGATTGCTACAGGTACATGGGACTAGTGATAATGCACAACTGGATCCTAACAAAGTTCCACCGTTCATCATTTAGGAGGCAACTTCGAGAAGCTTGGATGAATGTTGAGACAGGAGTAACACAAGCATGCTTAAGTAAATAGAAAAAGTACTGGTCCTTGCTGACAGAAACTTACCGTTCTACCAAAGCGCTTTCACTTGAGCATGCAGAAGAAACTTTAAAGGTTTTCTTTATAAGGTGCATCGATCCTTCTGCATCCCAAATCTCCTCATATTCATATATCTCATCTTCGCTTTTAAGTTTTGTCCCACCTCCAGAAATGCTAGAACTAATTAGACTTCTAATATTCTTCAGAAATTCACCAAGATAGTGTGGAAAGAGCACCCCATTTGTTGGCCAAAGGACGGCAATAAGAACGGTCATGACAAACAGCACTAGATACCTGACACATCCACAAACAACCTTTAACATTACAAGAAACAAGGTTTATAAGATAAATATTTTTTAATCTCAATATACTGAATTACCAAATATAAATGTACGTCTGCACAGGGAGAAAGCAAACTTTGGTGGAAATTGCCTCCTCTGCCATTGATCCGGCTGGTAAGATAAGATTACTTGCAGATAATAGCATGAAAGATGGAAACAGATTTCCCATCTGCCAGCTTATGGTCCCTAGAGTGTGCTGCACAACACTATCAATCAAACACCATCTAGTCAATACAAACTACTTTTTCAATTGAACAAGGTACAATACCTCTTTTACAGAACCATATTTGGATCTGTGGGTTACTGTACACTGATCATGGTCATGCCCAGAAAGAATTAGTGCCTGCAGAAACTCGAATTAATGCATAGAAATTTCTTCCTTTTTTATTTGTTTTTTTGTTTTGGACGTGCATCATAAAATGAAAGGAAATACTTGCAGGTTTTTTTTTTTTGATAAGGTAAATTGTATTAATCAAAAGGGAGAAAAAACTCCCGTATACAAGAAGTATACCAAAAAGTAGAAATACTTACAGGTTTGATAGACTCAAGCAGGTCATTTGTTCCGTTTTCAGTAATATAATTTTGATATCTGCAAATGGAATTGTAACCAAGTCTGACATAAACATCCATGCGTACAAACACGGTAAATCCATACTAAGCCACTACAGTGAGACTAAGAGCTTACAATATTTCATTATCACGAGCAGCACGGTTGATTCTCTGAAATAAATAACAAATATGTAATTTTTTATTTATAAATATGAGAGATATGTTAATTAACCATATTACAAAAAAAATCACAATTTTCTCCTCAAAATAGCAATAATCAAACAGAAAAAGAATTTTTGAGGACTGTTTAGGTTCTCGAGATTCTCAATAAGAATCATTTAGGCTCTCGAGACTCAATCGCTTAACTGGAGAGGAATGGTACATGAATGGCAGTTTCCAGACGTGGAAATCCTTCCCACTATAAATAGAAAAAGCTAAGTTTTTCAAAGAAAGGCTAAATGTTACCTGATTAATGATTGATGATGAACGATATGGACCGCATGCAGTTAGACCTGGCCGATACAATGGTATATGAGTCAATAGAACCCTTGGATTCGAAGATGGATCTGCACAGAGAAGAGCAAAATGAGCCGAGGGTCTTACACGTAAGCCAAATTCAAAACATAGATGGATAGTGATTGGCAGAACATACGCTCTGAGACATTTTTGACAAAATTCCATATGGCAGAAGTTACATTGTTTTGGGGATTCCCTGGAGACAAGATATCTTGCTGTGAGTCTTTTCAAAATAACAACACCATGAATCGAACCAACAGAGTCTCTGTTTCATGCTAACTGATAGGAAGAAAAGCAAATCATTAAGGTGGTGTTTGGTTGAAAATATCCGAAATTAAGTTTGCCAAGAAAAAAGAAATTGAATATTTTCAAACATCTTTTTTTTTCCCTTTTGGTACCAGAAAGTTGCACCCAAGAAAATAACTTTTGCACTAGCGGTCCGAAAAGAGGTTTATGGAACTAATTACTGCCAGAACTAATGTGAAGAGGAAGACATGAACTTGGCACGAAATTGTAAAAAAACTAAAGATAAATGAATTACTCTCTCCGTTCCAATTTATGTGAACATGTTTGACTGGACACGGAGCTTAAGAAAAAATAGGACTTCTGGAGTTTGTGGTCCTAAACATGTCAGAAAAGGGTCCAAAGTATTTGTGTGGTTATAAAAGCTTCTCATTAAGGGTAGAATTGGAAGTTTAAACTAAAATATTTCCAAATTTAGAAAGGGGTCAATCTTTTTGGAACGAACCAAAAAGGAAATAGGTTCACATTAACTGGAACGGAGGGAGTAGCATTTTTTAGACACTGCATTGGTACATAAAAAGGATTCAAACGAATTGGGAAGCACTGAAATAAGAGAGAGAAATCAGGCTACTATACTCTTGAACACTCAAATATGGATGATACAACTTTGACACTGAAAACAATGAGAATAGTTTATCTCTAAACAGTAACTGTTGAAGTCCCCAAAGTTTTATATACTAAAAAGAGATCCAAATAAAGTGCAGATTGTGAAATTACCATCCAAGGTTTGTGCATCGATTGCGATGAAATCTACTTTTCCAGCTGTAAATTGATAGTTCCTTGCACCAAATGCTCTCTCATAGCGTCTGATAACCTGCATTATGGTGTACACAGATAAGAACCGAAATAGAATAGGAGGAAATGACGCTTAGACTGCTAAATGGCTGACATATTTTAAGCATAAGAATCTAAAGAAATCATCTACTGCCAATAAAACAGATAAAAAGATCCAAGATATAAATGTCAGAGACTGGAAGTAGGTCTGGATCATTGCTGATTGAACTATGCAACTTGCCAAGCTCCCTATGTCTTAAAACATAGTGAAGATAAGCACTTTTCTCTTGGCTGGGAAAGGCAACCAGCATCCCTTAAACAGTGACGCAACTGATTTGCAGATAAATCAAATTGGAAAAAAAGAAATTGATGGCCGTCATGATATGTAAAGACAGTCATCCCTTCTCCAAAAATGAAAGATTCATAAAGCTAAATGTGAAAACTTCCTTATTTAAGAAATTATATTTGAAAGAAAAATAAAGATAATACTGAATATTCTGCTTCTTCGACCAAGCATGAGCAATAAATGCACAAAAATCTGTATGTCAAAGTTTCCAGTATGCAGATATCCATAGGCAAGTGACATCACAAAATAGCTATCCAAATGGAAGCATGATTTTGTCTTATAGCTTAAAACCTTGAACTCTAGTAGCAAACTATAACTTCTGGTCAGAATCATAAGTTGATTTCTATAGAGACATTTGATGCTCATTGAAACAAAGCACTGATACCACAGGCATTGAAGTTTCTTTGGGTTTCCTTAAGCATCTATAAACACATCCAATTTACCATCAACAGCAAAAAGTAGATGACCGTTTCTGAATATTCTTCATGTTATGAATAATCAATTAGTTAACTGTACTGAGTAATCGGATGATCACCACTGCATTATTGAGTTCAGTCACCCAACCCAATGAACTATTGAATTATCCCAGTTATTCAACTTATTCTGCTATAGATGATGATGCTGTCTCCAGATCCTCTCAATGTGAAAACATGGCACTCATCAGAACTTTTGGTTGTGGAGAATTTGGGTGGGTCAAAATCCCTTTATAATTATGATCAACATGGTAACTTGCTACAGGCAATCATGGACACTATTCCAGCTCACAGCTAAGTTTTCTTCCAAAATTTCCTAATGTGGTAACTGAGCTCGCGCAAGCCGGAGCTCGCCAACAAACATTTCTTCAATATACATCGTACAACGATGATCCTTTACATAATAGGTTTGTTTCATGTAACATTTTAGAAGAAGATTTATCTCTATTCTTCCAGAAGCTTATGAGTAATTGATACACGATGATCCACTACATAATAGTTTTGTTTCATGTAACATTTTAGAAGAAGATTTATCTCCATTCTTCCAGAAGCTTATGAGTAATTGATACATGATAAGAAATGGGATATGAACAAGTCAAAAAGCATATTAAATTCAAATTTAGCTTAGACACTCAAATAATATGTTCTGAGTATAGAACTCTATCTGAACAGTTAACACACCTCTGGCATATGCGAGTGAAAAGCAGCATACCCTATATCATGGTTTCCAGCAAGGTAGTAAAGCTTTATGTTTGCAGTTTGCTCAAGCATATCAATGTTAAATATATGCTTAAACCGGCTCCAGGATTCCTGCCATCTATCAAATTAAATAAATCAAAGCTCAAAGCAGAAGAATAACTGGAGAACATTCAGATAGGTTATGCATGAAAACAACTAAAACATGACTTTTCTAGAAGGATCAACTAATAGGATTGGGCCTTGAATTAATCCAGATAATAATGTGAAAAGGGGAATGCCATGGGAACTTGTTTATCAAAGCCAGGTTTTGATCCTAATCCAAAAAGTAGTTTAACTTTTTTTTAGGAAAGACCTTCAGGCAGAACATTAAGCATATACAACTTAGCAATTAGTACTTACTCTTCATCAGACAGAAAAGGCCCACCATCAAAATAATCACCTAGGAACAGAATCACATCTGGTTTGAAAGGTAAAATAGAAGATAGGAATGCCCTACGCATGTACAAATCTGTATAGAACTGAGCAGCTTCAAGTGCAAGGGATTTCGGGGCAAGATGAAGAGAGGTTCTATCCATGAGCTGTCAAAATGTAAGATATCTTGTGAATATGAAGTCAAAATTGCAAAGCACAGAAAAATTATAAAATATGCACAGTAAAGCCACCTTTAGTTGCAGAAGGAATACCTGAGGATCAGTAACAACAGCAATTTTCACATAGTCACGTTGATGATCTACTCCATCCCTCTAAAATCAAGGAGAAGAAAGGTTAGTATGCCTGAGGGGTCTTTTTTATTTTGATTGATGGTATAGCAATAATAATACAAAATCCCACATAACATAGTACAGTGTTTGGTTGGCTGCATAAGGAAAAAACAAATAACTAATACAGTGTTTGATTGGTGGTATTAAGCAAAACCCGTATTAAGTTATGCAGTAACAACAACAACAACCCAGTATAATCCCACTAGTGGGGTCTGGGGAGGGTAGTGTGTACGCAGACCTTACCCCTACCCTCGGGTAGAGAGGCTAAGTTATGCAGTAACTTCTGTATTATTTTATACGGGATAGAATGTAGAATAAGAAGCATTAGTAATGCAGGGATTAAACTATTTAAAGACAAGAATCTCTTTATTATTGATCGCCGCATAACAATCTATTCAGTAGTAATCACCACACAATCAATATTTGCATTATAATCCCGCACAACTAAAACCAAAAGCAACCCCCCTAAGTGTCTTACTATGCTAAGTTTTGGCACACGCTAAGCAGGAAAAACTATTACAATAGTTTTTGCACTAAAAAAAAGCTTGAATGCTTATGAAGGGGACAAGCCATTAAAATGCACATGTTAGTACTTAGATAATTAAGAAGTAGACTTCATAAAGGGGAAAGTTACCAGCAAAGCAATACATGCCTTGAATCTTACAAATGCGTATTATGAAACTTCCCCCATCTAGAGCTATCAAATTATTGCTCGAAATTAACCACAGAAATTTCCTCATGAAGGTATTTAGCATACAAATTCCACCACTCATACATGTACGTATAAGTTAACTTCCCCACAAGACTTCTTAATTTTCCTTTTAATTTTTTAAACACGCCAGCCTTTTTTCAAAGCTGGATCAATCAGGAGCCTTTGACTTGCTTGGAATCTCAATGAGTACACAAGAATGAAAATAGAGGAATTTTCATAAAACACTACAATTAGAGCCTAATTACCATACATAACAATAGTTTGCCTAATTACCATTCGTAGTTACTGTTCAATTATTACCAGCTTGTATCATTTGCATTCAGACGCACAACGAATACAACCTGTATCAAGTGTATTTGTACGCGCAACGAATACAACTTGTATCAACTATATTCGCCGTGCCACGAATATAACCAAGACAAAATACAAGTATGTATATAAAGGATACAACCTATATCGACTGTATTCATTCACACAGGGAATACAACCAGTGCGAAATACAAAAAGAGAGTCGAACTCAAGAGCGGACGCTCTAACCAACTGAGCTACGTGAGCTTGTTGCTCTCTTGTTTCAGTTCAAAACAATTGATCTCTTGTTTCNCGAGGACATTGTACAATTTAAAGATGATGACAGTTGACAAGGTGGGTTTAACTAAATTGCATAAGCTAATTCAACAGATCAATTGGGAGCATAAATTTCTTGTCTATTAGTAAACGCGGAGCTGAGTAATTTCCTGATCTAAATTTATGCTGCTTAAGATGAATTAGTCTTAAATCCAGCTCAAGTCAAAGGTAAAGTCAGTGAATTCTTATTTCATCAAAGTTTCGAGCTATAAAGTTAGAATAGTACTTCGGCTTACCGTAGAAGGAGGAAGGTGAGGCCAAGAACAGGACCAAAGATAAGGCACCCAAAATGCGAACATCTCGCCATAGAGGAGGCTCACTGCCCAAACTAAGCTAAGAAAAGCTGCTACCTTTAACATTTCTTCTCTTCTTAGCTGATTGGATCAATTAGTGTTCTCTACTTCCATTTGTTAACTACCTCGTAGTCGTAGATCCTAAAGTAAAAGCTCAGAGAACTGGACAAAAGTTTTGTTGTTCAACACTTGACTCTTACCCGTTAATGGTGATTTCTTTTATTTTTTTCGGTCCTTGTTATTTCCCATTTGGACAATATTTAGTTAGCAGTTGAAACAACCACTATTTCAACAATATTGGAAATTAAAGTTGAAATAAAGTAACTATTATATTAGTACATGAGTTTTACTTGAAAAAATTAATAACTCGTGAGTGAAAACTATTATTTTACTTGAAATACTCCTATGTTCTCAAACAAAATTGTTAATAGTAAATTTTTATGTCAAGTTAAAACTGAAATGAAGTAGTAAACTAATAATTAATTTTACGAAAGTTATTTCAATATTTACAAATAATATTTGGTCTGATGTTATGTCCTAAATAATAGAGTTCGAAGTATCAAAGAAAGATAATTGTGTAAAGTAAGTATTAAATTTTTAATCTTTTTCGAAATAAAAATTTCTATTATAACATCCTGTTATAAAAGTATTTGATTTCCCATTCAGCAGTGTCAAACCAGTTTGATGAGGGGTGTAATATTATCTGTGCTGGATAACGTTTTAAATTATATGAAAATAATAAATAATTTACTTACTATTTATTATTTATTCTTTGGCGGCCAATATATTATTGTTTATTTTTATAATAGAAATAAATTGACATCTTATATATAATATTTTAGTATGTGATGTAATAAAAAGTTTTATCTTAAGATGATTAATGTTTTAAATGATTAAAAATCTAATGAAGTACTTATTTTAATAGAGAGAAAACGGAATTCATTTAAATCACATCTATATCATATCATACTTATATTATAAGTATATTATAAGTAAAACACGAGCTGCTACAGAGGAGCTCCAGTAGCTCCAGTCGGAGGGCAGGCACCTGAGGTACCTGTTGCGGCACCAGCCCTCCAGAATACTCTAGCCCAGTTTCTGAGCATGTTCGGCACCTTAGCTCAGGCTGGATTGATTCAACTTGCTCCTGCCACATCTCAGGCCGGGAGAGGAGCACAGACTCCCGTCACCGGTACTCCAGAGCAGCGGGCTCAGATCGACCAGGTTCCAGAGATTATACCGATGCAGCCGGTAGCTCCAGCTCAACCCGAGGTTAGGGCAGCAACTTCTTAGGCTGAGCAGCTCAGACTTGAGAGGTACAAGAAGTACCACCCTTCTACCTTCAGTGGATTGGCGTTAGAGGATGCCCAGGGTTTTCTGGAGAAGTGTTACCGTATTCTCCGTACTATGGGTGTATCAGAGTCAAGTGGGGTTTCTTTTACTACATTCCAGCTTAGAGGGAGCAGCCTATCAGTGGTGGCGTGCTTATGAGTTGGATAGTCCGGCTAAGGCAGCTTCACTTATATGGACTCAGTTCTCAAACATATTTTTTAGAGAGTATGTCCCTCAAAGCCTCAGGGACTTATGGTGCGCGGAGTTTGAGTAGTTGCGCCAGGGTGCTATGACTGTGTCAGAGTGTGCAGTTCATTTCAGTGATTTAGCCCGACATGCACCGGCCTTGGTTGCCACAGTTCAAGAGAGGGTTCGTCGGTTTATTGAGGGACTCCACCCCAGTATTCGGATCAGTATGGCCAGGGAGTTGGAGACGAATATTTCTTATCCGCAGGTTGTGAGTATCGCCAGGAGATTGGAAGGCATGCTTGCTCGGGATAGAGAGGAGAGAGAGGCCAAGAGGCCTCGAGAGTCTAGCTCTTATTATGGTGCTCGTGCCCCAGTATCTCGTCATGGTAGGGGTTATGTGAGTCGCCCCATTCATTCAGCTCTTCCAGCTGCCAGTGGTGTTCCAGCCCTTTCTAGGCCCCAAGAGCCTTATTATGCATCGCCAGTATCTAATGTGCCTCCTACACGGGGTGTTCCCAGAGGCCAGTCCAGCAGACCTGGCTCGAGCCAGTGACAACAGTCACACCCTCCGAGAGCTTGTTTTGAGTGTGGCGACACTCGCCATATGGTGAGGGATTTCCTCACACTTAGGTGGGGTGCACCTCCATAGACTTCTCAGGCACAACGTGCTCCACCGGGTCTCAGGCTATAATTCCAGCACCAGCTACCGCCCCACCTACTCAGCCAGCTCGAGATGGAGGTTGAGGTCACCCTAGAGAGAGAGGCCAGACCAGATATTATGCTCATCTGGCTCGTAGAGAGGCAATTGCTTCCGATTCTGTCATTACGGGTATTATCCCGGTCTGTCGTAGAGATGCGTCGATATTATTAAAAATTAAAATTACCCTCCGAAAAATAATAAATATATATTATGACCATGATAAATGAGAACAGAGGCGTTTAGATCCATGCAATAACTTAGTAAAGCCTATTCAAATTCTTGGTGTTGTTTTCTCCTTCCCGTACATTACTACAAATAAACTATCTTAACCTCAATATTTGGTTATTCACCTTCCAATAATTGTTACAAATTCGTTCCTTTTTAACTTTATAAAGTGGACAACTAAATCATCAACAACAACAACAACAATTCACTAGTGGGTCTGGGGAGGGTAGTGTGTACCCAGACCTTACCCCTACCCGGGGTAGAGAGGCTGTTTCCAAATGACCCTCGGCATCCTTCCCTCCAAGAACTCCCCAACCTTGCTCTTGGGGTGACTCGAACTCACAACTTCTTGGTTGAAAGTGGAGGGTGCTTACCATCACAGCAACCCGCCTTGTCTAAAGTAAAACAATTCTTCCCCTGTCAAACCATTGTCAAATGGAAAAATTCTTTTTGTTTCATAAAAGATACTTTTTTTTATTAGCCAAATCTGCTCACCATTTGCAACAACAGCCCATTTACAAGTCAAATCAGGTAATATTTTTCCTTTTCCTATTAGTTTTTATGAGTGTTATGCTAATTCTATAGTTTTTATATGTATTTTTTCATTATTATTGTCATACAATGAGTATCTTTGTTTATGAAAATTATTTGAATATACAATAGAGTCCTAGCTAATTTTCATTAGGAATAGTGCTTATTTTTTACTTAATTCCTTTTTAACGTAACCCGAAAATTTAATTTCAGGAATTTGCTAATTGTCGTCCATTAGCGGCAGGGCGAAGTTGACCACCCTTCGTCGAAATATTACACTGTATATATAGGTTAAATATTAGATTTTAGTGGTATATGACATATATTGGATACTCTTGGGGATTATTTTTTACTTCATTTAAATTTGAACACCTAAAATAAAATTCCTAGCTTCGCCACTTATTAGCGGACTTGACTTCTTTACATCATCTTGTTTTTTCAATTTCACGGTAAATATCTTGGGATGGGACAATATCCTAGTTGTTTCCTTCTATTTTTTCTCTTTCATTTGTGTTCTTTATTTTGGTGTGGCTTGGTTCATTCCGGGCAGTGGCGGAAGCAGAATGTTATTCAACACATAATATATTTATTTATACTATTTTTTCTGTTTATGTTTGTTGAGATCAATCGTGTTGTTTTTAATATAGTAAAATAAATTCTATAAAGTTATAATATAGTTTATTAATATTAATTTTATTTTATAAAATTTTATACAATTAACATGGAATACACGTGCAATGCACATGTCCGGAAACTAGTATTATTAAAATAAGAGGAAAAAGCCACCTTCTTAGGCCTAGTGGCAACATTAAAATTAGCCACATGTGATGTATTAACTAATAACTAATTCATCCATATGGCATAACCAGAAAAAGTCATATACAACTTATTTCTTAATTAATTAATAACAAATAACTAAATCAAAATATTAAAAAATTTAATAAAATATCTATCCATATTTTTAAAAGAATAATATGATACCACATAATGACAAATGTAGATTTTTAGGACAAAGCTCCAAAAAAGTTGGAGTTTAGTTATTTTATAATAAAAATGAAATATAAAAAAAAAGAACCGCCCATTCAAATTGGTGAGTAGTTTCAAGTTAGAGTTTTAAAATAAAAAACGAAAATAATCAAGTAACGAATAAATAAACTTACTCACAAGAAAGATAAAAAAATTTATTATGAAATTATAGAAATAAAAATTATTTGAATTTGAGATGAGAAAATTTCTTTTAAATTATAATGAGAAAATTCATGCAAATAACAAAATATAACTAAAACCATAATAGATAAGGTCAAAAATAAAAAGATATAGAACAATGTGTGAATTTCAAGTAAAAGAATAATAAATTAATAATCAACTTTTACATGAGTAAGAAATCTATGTTATATTAAAAGAGGTAATAAGCAAGGACATTAAATCTAAAGGCAAACTATTAAAAATTCACATGATATGCAATAATACTAAGCAATGAATAAAGCAATAACGATAATCGAGGAACTAAAGAAGAAAAAATGGCATAAAATATAAAATGATAAAATGTATTAGAATTTTAAATCAGAAAGCGTTTTTGAGTTTTAATGACAAAAATCATACATATGTAAAATATCATGTAAATTAAATCTTAATAGATAAAGTCAAAAATAAAAAATATTAGGATAAAAGAATATCAAGCAATAAAGTATAATTTTAAAAGATAGATGACTTTAATAATTAAATCTTAAAAATCAAAATTTTAATAAAAAGTCAAAGGAGAAGAAAAACTTAATTTCTTGGAATATAATACAAAAATAACAATTAATTAAAACATTGGTAGATTTATAACTAAAAAAGAAAAAAATAATTTATATTTTTGACGAATTCAAATGNTATATATTATATAAAAAAAGATAATTATAAAAATATTAAGTCAAGTAACAAGCTAATAAAACGTCATAATAGCAAATAAAATAATAATAATAAATATAGCAGATTATATAATAAAGAAAAGTGAGGAACTAAAAAGTTATTCGATGGCCATATGAATCTTTTTCTAATTTTATCGATTTTCTTATTGGGCATGTTTCACTGGATAAAAAAAAAAAAAAATTTAAATTTAAATCAAGCAATATGATATAATTTGGTCAAACAAATTAGATCACACAACATGATTTATATTATCCGCACATACTAGTACTAGTAATAAATTTAAAAAAAATGTTTGCATGACGTCCTCCTCTCCTTCAACCACGCGCACGCATCTTTTAACGATGCACTTAAACATCAAATCTAGAAGACTAACAAGTCACATAGTATAATTAAAGCAGTACAATTATGATACCTACAAATACAAAATTTTCAGAGCCAAATGAAAATTATTAAGTAATCTTCAACAACTTCTGTAACGTTTCTAAGCTTCAACAAGTACTGTAACGTTCTCTAATCTTCAACTACTTATGTAACGTAATATCTCTGGCATGGGTTTATGATTTGACTTCCTCTCTTTGTCTGAAATATTTTTCTTTGTTTACACATTTGTTTCTGTTGAAAGCCATCAAACAATCAGATCTTTTTCCCCTACAAAAAATTTGAAATTAGTTTTGCTTAAGTGGATTGGTGTCTGCTAGTTAGAAATACTATGTTATAGATTTAACCAAACACAATAAAATGGTAAAAAAAACAAACACGAAAATGAAAAAGACTCTTATAGCTTCAAACCATTTACCTTTATCTCTGAATAATCAAAAATCTGAAATAACAAAATTACGATTTCATATTAAGAAGTTTTCACACATATCATATTACACAATTATGATATGTTTATGTGTGGCTGTGCGTTGTGATAATTTTTTTTTTCTTTTTAGAGGATGAAGTTTTGAATAACATTAAATGGGGGAGTAGTAATATTGGAGAGCCCGTCGAAGCATATTTTTTAGTGTTGCTTCCTTCTTTTAGTTGTTTGCTTCTATGAGTGTGAACCAATAGAAAGGATTTAAAAACTAGAATCAGTTTCAAAAGTAAGATATACTCTTATTAATTACATAGTTTTCATGTTCTACCTATAAAAAGGTAGTATCTATTTGAAATTTGTTGAGGACGGCTTAAATTTGAGAGTGAAAAATGGTGAAGAGGGGCGTTTTAATATTGCTTTTGTCTACATTTTTAGTTGGGAGCATTTAAAGTAGGCAATTGGCCGAGAATGGTTGCATAGCTAAGAAAGACTGTGATGTAAGAGAAATAGGTGAAGGAGCTAAGACAGGTAGGAGGAGCAATGGGCTTGGTGTATCTGGACAAGAATATGGGTCGGGTCAAAAATACAGTTATGTGCCTATTGGACCTATACCAGAATATGGTAATATTCCCGGTGGCACACCATTTACTGGAGGACCTGGACTAGGATATGGTGTTGCTCCAGGTATACCTTTATTAGGAGGACCTGACACCGTTGGTATACCGTCTATAGGAGGATTACCTGGTCAAGGATACAATGGTATTCCAATTGGAGGAGGAGGACTTGGGCTTGGATATGGTAGTATTCCAGGTATACCTTTGATCGAGAGACCCGATAAAGGATATGGTGTTTTTCCTGGTATACCATTGTTAGGAGGAGGACCTAATGGTGTTCTTCCCGGTATACCATTGTTAGGAGGAGGACCTAATGGTGTTGATAGGAGGAGGTGGAGGAATTGGTGGAGGAGTTGGAGGAGGAATTGGTGGAGTAGGAGGTGGTGTTGGAAAGCGAATAAGCGGATGGGGAGGCGGCGGCGACAGTGGTGGTGGTGGTGGAGGAGGATTTGGACTGGGTGGAGGCTTTGGAGGAGGTGGTGGTGCCGGTGGTGGTTCTTATGTTAACACCAATATGATCAATAGTAAGCATCATTGACATGTAATAATCTTGAAGTGAAACTCAAATTTGGAAATAAAAGATACTCTGTTCTTCTTTAATATGCATGAAGTTGTTACTATAATTTGTTTTCAAGTGAACTTCATTTTATTTATTTAACCGTTTTTCATTAGAACAATTGACTCTAGGTGATATTTCTATGCTTAGACGTTATTTAGTGGTAAAATTATCTCCAATTAGTTACCGAGTAATCATCACTAGTTACAATTAGCTATAAATGGTTGCCCAACTAGGATTCTCTTTTTTCTCTTTACATTCTGCACTCCCCGTGTAGGTTAGGAAAGGGCTAGTTTTGTTTAAATGGGGTGAAATTTTTGTGCCAAGACATTAAAGTTAGCATCTACTACTAGTTTTTTTGAACTTAACAGAAATTCGTTCTTCTCAGGTATTGATTAATCATACTATTTAAGATATTAAATAAAGAACTACTTAATTTTATATAACTTGCTTGAACCAACATATCCACAATTAGACAATGTTGTCAGTTTTGAGAAAATCATTAAACACCATCCTTGTACCCTTTCCACCTACTTTCATACCATATCAAATGCAGAAAATTATTACATATTATTTCCAGAGTAAAATGATTCCATACCAAAAGAACCTTAGGTCTAGGGACTAAGTAAGCGTTTTAGCAAAAAATACACATACACAATAATGTATTTTAAGCTTTAACTAAGTAAATGTTTTAGCAAAATGCAATCTCATACATAGTCAACGTTTTAAGTTTTAACTAAGTAAACGTTATAGCCAACACCTCGTCTTAGCCAGAAGAGCACAAATCTGTGCAGGTATACTATGCAAAAGACTGAATAATCCAGTGACAAGAACAACCCACTATAATCCCAATAGTGGAATCTGGGGAGCGTAGTGTGTACGCAGACCTTATCCCTACCCTGGGGTAGAGAGGTCGTTTCCGATAGACCCTCGGCTTCATCCCTCCAAGAACTCTCCACCTTGCTCTTGGGGTGACTCGAACTCACAACCTCTTAGTTGGAAGTGGAATGTGCTTACCACTAAAGCAACCCACTCTTGCCTTTTGCCTTGCTACAATACATTAAAGCTGTGTAAAAAACTTTTCTAAGGATCCATTACAACAATTACATCTCAACCCACCAATCTGGGGATCACTATGGATATATATGAATAAGGTACAACATTTATATCTCCTAAATCTTACATTTGGAAAAATTGTTCTACAGTGCCCGCCCTTCTATAATTCTTCTCCAAGTGGAAGAATATAAAATCAGCTTGGATATACAGTAGGGAAGAAACAGAAACTGTTTGTTTGCTAAAAAAATGATACAACATGGATAAACGTTGAAGAAGAAGCCAACAGTTCACCCCAACCAATGAGTTTTCCAGTGTAAAAGAACCCATCTACCACTTCACCGCCACAACCTGCACTCCAGATTTAGCCAACACTTGGGCAGAGTGCAGCTTGTTAGGCTCATCGCTTTTGATTCATCGCCAGCAGTCGAAGAGTTCATTTGCTGAGGCATGAGTATCACCGCTGAGAGCATACTTATTCCCCTTCTGCACCACGCCCATGCAAGAAAGGTTAATGGCCAATTTTTTGTGATCCAAAATTTGTGGGGGTTGGGGAAGGAGGGGGGACAAGCAGGATATTTAACACATAACAACCTCAATTCAGCAGTGTATCAAAATGAGCAGTTAGTATTTGAAAGCTCTAACCAAAACCTAGATATGCAGCTAGAAGAAGTCGGCTTGTGGTAGGGGGATCTGCCAACGAAACATAACTCGTCTAAGGACTGTTTAAAGGTAATTTTGGCAACCAAAAAGTGGTGAGCTAGCGTACATGTGGCTGTGATGGAGTTTATTGCGAAGATTTAGTAGGTTTGCTACCCTAACAAAAAGAGCAGAATAGATCTCAAACATTGTAACCTTCTAACACAAAAACAAAATGATCCTAACCGACCAACAGCTTAAATTGGCGGTAGATAAAATCAACTCTCCTTTGTATAACTTACCCAAAAAAAAAAATCTCCTTTGTATAATGATGGTTAACACAAGTACATTAACAAATGAAACTTATCTTCTTTTTTCTTTTTTTTTTTTAGAATGATAAAGAATGAAACTTTTCAAAGCATTCAAATAATGTAGTAGCAGATTAAAGACATGAAGATTAATGAAATACTCAAAAAATGATATGCTATGGCATGGAACAAAATCATCACAGGCTTACCGAATTTGTAAATATTTAGGCATTTCATAGCTGGTCATGAAACTGAAACATCGACTCTGTTAACTAGAGCTGAAAAAGATTGGAAGGAAAGAAGGGATAGAGAACAGGATAAAACTCTTAGTTTTGATCAAGAAATTCGAAGAAGGAATACATTCGAATTGTAGAGACTGACATCTTCAATAAACTATAAAGGAGAAACAAGCAATAGTCAGACTAGGAAGGGTGGAGCAAAATTTGTGAACTAATCTTTGATAGTATACTAACCGAGTGACAAGAGGGTGAAGATAAAGAGATGGAGGTCGGTTGGAGGTGGTTATGTTACATATTACAGTTAGTGGGCGAAACTTTTGTCCGGAAAGGATTGTGAGCAATGGTGGCAAGAGAACACTTGGAGGAGCAGATTCAAAATAGAAAGGACACCGAGAGCTTGAAGAGATGGAAAATATGGAGATGGGCTTATTCTATTTTATTTGTATGTTTGGTACATAACATCATATCTCACTGTGTAGTTAGCAGAATTTTACTTTTTTGGATATTGGTTTGCACCTAATGTACTCTATTTTCTGCAAATAACACCAACTTGGTGTACTTAAACAAAATTACCCTGTCTTATTAATAAAACAAGATTAAGAAATTCTCAGATTTTAGAGGGAAAGAATGTATGAACTAACCTTTTGATGGATCAACATGTACAAAGAAACTGGCTGCAACAATGAGATAGCATAGAATAAGCATCAACCCCTTAAAATAGTTTGATGTTCCTTCCTGCATATTGTAAAGTAACAATTAGACTTAGTAGCAAGATTGCCATGGCTGAGAAGTCTAGGGTAGGGAGCAGGCTGAACATCATCGTCTATTTTATTCAACTGTCTGATTTGCCTGGGGTAGGGGTGGCGGCAGAAGGATTAGATGACAAACCTGCAGCATAAACGCCACGACTAGCACTGTGATAAAGAGTGTAGCAGTCTCAAACAATTGGAAGTTCAAGTCCATTGGTTTTCCCATGAACCAACCAACAACAACACAAAATGGAATCTGCATTATCAAAAACACGAGATCTACAAATAAGCAACTTGATTTATATGCTCTATTATAAATTTTGAATAACTCCAAACTGACTGCACTAAACGTACACCAAACAAACAAACAAATCTAGTATGTTCTCAGGACTCTGTATGAATTTAAATTAAAGAATAAAAAAGAAAATATTTGTTATCGGATAATTTCTAAACCTAATTCAGATGATTCTTGCATCACATTTTAATGTCTTACCACAAACATTGATATCTGAGTTGATGACCCAATTGCAACTCCAAGTGTAATATCCTGCAAACAATACCCCGTTAGCAACCTATTCTGGAGCAAATGAGAAATTGAATATGGTTTATCAAGAACTTACAAGCTTATCTTTCATTGCAAACATGATTGCACTTGCATGTTCTGCAGCATTTCCAACAATTGGAAGCAGGATGACACTAATAAAAGACACAGGCATGTTCATTGAGTCAGATGCTCCCTGAAATCAAATTAGCAATATGAAGAAATTACGATGAAGGACATACAGAAAATAAAAGGTCAAAAGAACTTAAACAAAGTTTTTAATGCTTCAGAGATACATGTAGTGGTGGTAAAATGATTAAAAGAAAATAGTTATCCACCCATATTATCTATTAAAAAATGGGTTGGATGATGAACTTTTTAAAAACGGGTCAAATATGGATAAGAACCATATTATCCACTTAGAAAATAGATAGCCAATGGATAACTAATGAGTTTAACTTTTACACTTGTAAATCTCAAATTGGGGGTTTCTCAAGTTTGGGAAACTAGGAATTCTCCCAAAAGTGATCATATTCAAGAAGTCATGGATAATATGGATATCCATATTATCTACCGGTTAACCCGTTTTTTATCCGTATTAAATATCGGTCAGGTCGGACAATTTATCCATTTTTGCATTACCCGTTCCGACCCGACCCGACCTACCCGTTTGCCACCCCTAGATACATGCGTGAAGCTTAAATTTACTAAGTGTAGGTGCCAAAAATAAAAAGGATAGAAACAAGAAGTAGTAACAACCACAAGATAAGGAGATTGGGGACATATTACAGGACGTAAGATTGAAATTGATTAACAAATAAAATGGGCAGAAAATTGCTGCCAGCAAATTTCTACTATGAAGTCAAATATATTCCACTATAACGACCAACGGTTAAAAGTTGCAACTCAGCCAGAACCCAAAGTGATTATTTAGGAAAACGAAGAAGAACGTGAGCCAAGTATCCTCATATAACCTAAACGAGACACCCAAAATCAATACCATTTGCTCTGAAGGGGGCAAGTCACTACACAAGCAAATTCTTCTTGATCAAACATTGCAGGGAATTCTTATCTAACTCAAAGAATCTTTGCCAAACTTGCTGGCTAATAATGCACTCCATGTATGAGACATATTAACAAGAGAAGAAAATGTTAGACTATTCTCTGAAATTTCATTCAATTATCAAATTACTTTAACATCGAAGGTAATCTTAGACATCTCAGAAGATAATTGTCAAACCTTGCTGGTTAATAATACACCATTAGTGAAGCTTATGAGACGAAACCGTGTATATTTTTCATGTTTCCCAAGGAAAGCAGAAGTGCCCTATATTACTGCCTTTTAGATTCATTATCAAACATACAGCCCCTATTAGATTGAAATCCATTTCAAGCACTTCGTCAAATGAAAATACCAAACATATTCTTCTGGCGAATGGCCTGATGGTAGGTCAGGAAACTGATCTCCAATCTAAAGTTATGCTGCAGTGGCATTTATAAAAGTTACATTCCCAAGATTTTAGTCAATTTTAAATCAATGATAAGTCTACATATTGCAGATGGCCATATAGTGTTCAGTGTGGTCAGCTGATCCATGCAGATATATTTGTATTGTCTCGCTATACATATTGGATGTACCTCACCTGAAACAAATGAGGCAACACTTAACTCGGAAATAATAAGTACTCTCTTAGAAACAGATTGAATCACCAATTCTACTTTCAACAGTCGGAAAAATATGATGTTTGACCAAATTCTTTTTCAAATTATTTATAAAATTTTCTGAATGAGAAAATTATCAGGAAGTATATTCATATAATTCATAAATTTCTAAAATCCTTTCTTTTATTAATCAGGTAATCATAAATTTTCTAAGGTCTTACCTTTAAAAGGGAAATTAATCACCTTGCAACTTAAACTTTCATTCACTTTTCTCCATAAAGATATGGTGAAAGAAATTAAAAAATATAACAATCAATAGTTTATGATGGGGTCAGAATATGCTCTCAGCGCATGAAGCCTTAATTACAACATCTTGTGTAACTAACAATTATTGTGCATTTTGAACCTCATAGTGAACCTTAAACTGTGCCATCACTACATAACACACAGTGGCCATCATTGCAGAGCTCCAACAAGTTCTTACAAGGCACACAGAAGAGAGGAAAACACACCGCAAAGGCTCCAAAGACCATGCAGAGTGAAAATCAAACAAGGATCATTATGCTGGCAAAGTATAGTGCATGAAAGCTTCAGTTACTTAAATCATCAAAGCATTGATTAATTACCACAACAGAAAAAAAAGATACGGGGAAACTATGATAGTCACTATCTCAATGATCTAAAGTCGGCAGGTTATCACGCATAATATTAGCAACTAACTTCCGAAAAATGATAGCATTTTCAATACATCAGTGAAAAAGTGCCTACAACCAAAAAATTCAATAAAATAAAAGAGGAAAAAGAAATGTCACCTGGATGGCATCAACAAGATACCCAGATAGCACAGATATCCATATTGTCAAAATAGCAAGCCACCCTATAGCTTCCCATTGTGTTATCTCAGGGGCTTCTTCTTCATCAAAATCTTCGGCATTATTTTCTCTATCCTGTTCACATATTAGAGAATAATTAGATCAAACTAATGCATCCTGCAGCAACACAATATGCAAAAATAACATATCATAGTACGAGTTATTGGTACAAGTTTATTTGGAAAAAGCTGAGATTTTCTGCAAAACTAACTCCTCCATAACAGGCCTCTGATTAGTAAATAGGAAAACATAGTAGTCAACAGCTAATGCCGCAGCTACCTTAGAGAAATCGTACAAGCTGAATAACCAGAAATAAATTCCAAGATTTTCAGCAATTTACCTCATTGATAGGACTATATAGATTTTGTTGACTCTTGAGCTGAAAAAATAGGTAACTTGCATATGCTATCAGCATTATGCAACTGCTAAACCTTGAAAGAGCCAGCTCTGACTTCCCAAAATGCACTTCTGTGTGGGTGAAATGAAGTACAGCCGGAAACAATATGCCCATGACTGCCATCAATAACAATCCTGAATTCACGATCGCAGTTGCCTGCAATGTAATGATTATCATTACTATTAGCACATAACATTAGTGAGAGAACATTATAGCTGAGATAATACGAAATTACAGTGAAGCATCACATTCACAAAAGACAAAAGCGTTTACTTCATTGCACATTTGATGATGACACGATTGATCAGAAGATAATCACCTTACTAAAAACCTGGACTTTCTGATGATGAACAATCCCGCCACAGAAGAAGGCACATCCGAGCACCAAGAGCATATTTGACAAAATAGAACCCAGCAAGGATTGTTTAACAACCCTCATCATTCCATTATTCAATGCATATAATGAGATTATCATTTCAGTCGCATTGCCAAATGTAGCATTCAGAAGGCCCCCAACTATACATCAGAAAACAGAAAAGGTCATCCCAGTAATCAAAAGAAACGTGCTAGGTCTGTAAACAAATGCACGACTTAAAACACTTCCAGCAAAGGCCACGCAGAAGGGCAGAAGTACACAAACAGTATATAACCATTAAAATAGTAGTAAGGAAATCATATCTAGTGATTCGAGTCAAGGAGGATGAAATCCAAAAATTTACTTCAAGGGGTTTCTAGTTCCTCAACTGGTAATGTGGAACTTACTCCAAAAAAAATACTTGATTGATTCACTTGTTGCATATCTCAAATTCAACCAATCTTTCTTGATTACTAAATTTCTCGGTAAAAACCAAACTTAACTCACATTTTCAAATTACTCTGTGGCAGAATTGACATTCAACTTAAGCACTTAGAGTCCTTTTTAATGACGGTGGTGTCTATGTACTGCCTCCCACTAGCAGAGGTACCAGGTAACTCTACCATCAAGGTTTAGGTAGATGGGAAGAAATCATCTAGTATCTTTTTTATTGAGATTAAGCAAGCAATTTGAGAAGCTCAACTTAAGTCTCTCAGTAATTCATTCAAAAGGAAAAAGTCCAAAACTTATATTCCTCAAAAACAAAAACAAACAACATATGGTAAAACAACCAATAAACAAATGTGTACCTGTAGGCCCAGTGAAAAATGCAAGCTGCCTGTATCAAGAAAATTAAGGAATTCAATGAGCATGTAAAAGAATATAGTAGCAAAGGAAAAGTAAAATAACTCGAAGAGCATAAACATACTCAGTTGCATAACCTAAACGCTCAGCTAAGGGTGTAATCCCCACCAAACTGAAGAAAAAGACCCATTCCTGAAATATCAAAATGAATCCAAAATATATTAATAAAGCAAACTAAATTAAAAAAAATAACTTTAATTGAAATGAAAAACAAACATGGGATTAATATAGAATATATGGTTAGTAACCTGCAATAACAAGTTAAATTATAATGATTTATAGAGTCAACTGTCAACATATAAATCATTTGTGTTTAATTTCTACGGACCAAATTTACGCAATCAAGTCACTTAAAAGGTAATTGCAGTTAATATTGATTGGTAATACAGAATAAATGGTAAGTAACCAGGTTGCGAGAGCTAAAAATAAATGTCAAAAGTCTAGACTTTATACATGTTTTTTTGTAACATAGTGTAGCAGTATAGCCAGAGGTCCAAAAGGAAGCAAAATATTGATCTTTGCTTTAAGTATAACAATGTATATACTCCTCATAAAGCTGATCTGATCCATCTTCCTTAAGACTCTCGAATATGAGTAGAAACTTCTAGGCGACGCCATATGAGCTGCTGCCTCAAAATGTAGAGTTTCTGTCTTGTTTGTAGCATTATGAGATGAACTAAAAGGGATCTCCTCATTAGATTCAAGCTCTACCTTTTCCCCTATAGATCCCATCTCAACACTTTGCACACTTGAAAATAATGAATCAACCAATTGAATACACTGATTTGAATGGGCAAGCTCAGTAAATTACAGAAATTAGAATCGGAATTAATATCAAATTAGGAGAAAAAGGAAACAGAAAAGAAGGCACTATTTGTGTATATATCACATATATATGTAGATATTGTACATAGAAAAATCCGTCCCTGTCCCTGAAACGTGAAGAGGCCGGCGACAGGGAGGAAGACGAAGGTTCTGCGAAGTAGTCTCTGCCTAATAATTTTATTTTTAATTTTAATTTTTATAGTAATGGAGCACTAATGATATTATAATATTTTTTTCCAATATAAGTAGGATGATAAGATAAGGTAGTGATACAATTGTTTTTCCTTTCCAACGTTGAAGTTGGATATTTGGGAATTTTTAATTCCTCCAAGTATTTTATGTCATTCACATTTCCAACTTGAATAAATTTTTCCTTTTATTTTAATTATTTACATTATTTTAAAAGTAATATAAGGATTTTTTTTAAGAAGGAATTCGTAAGATTTTTTCCTTTTTCTCCGTTCTCCCCATCCACTCATTTCCCTTTATCATATACACGCGTTTTGATTTGATGTAAAGATTGAATTAAAGTAACCTTTTACCGGAATAGATTTATTCTACCCTTATTTCATGTTGGTAATTTCAAATGTTCTTCTACTTCCATATTCAAACTTCTCACCTTATTTTTCGGACATAGCTTAGGTTAATACAGGTGCTCCAACCAACTAGGCTACGAAGCTTGTTGCTCTCTTGTTTCAGTTCAAAACAATTGACCTCTTATTACAATACTACATGAGAATTTGCTAAAAAATTCAAATATAAATACGAATAGTAATTTTCTAAAAGTATAGCTACAAATAATAAATACAATATATATATATACACACACTATGTCGCATAAGTTTTCCCATCTTACATATTCTTACCTTTATAACCACAAAAAAAAAAAAAAAAAAAAAAAAAAAAAAGTTAAATTGACTACAATCTCAAGCTGCGTCTGTCCTCTTCATCCCAATTATCTTGGCATTTGCTTAGCCGTTGTGACTTGAGGATGGACAAAATTGATCATCTAAGAAGCAGCATGAATCATAATTTCCTGACTGTTTTAGCCTTTTCATCTTTATCTAAATAATCAATTTTAAAGAGAGAAAATTGATCGTTTAAGAAGCAACTTGCATCATAATTTCCTATAAATTAAGCCATTTCGCCTTCTTTTTTCCTTGTAAAATGCATACTTATGTTTTACTCATTGCAAGTTGTTTCCTTGACCATGGAGGTCTGTTCCCTCTCATATTTTCCAATGCATCTCGATTTTTCACATTTCAAAAATAAGAGAAGAAAGTAAGGAATAGTTTAACACAAAGTTTGGCTGCAGTTAAGCAAAGAAGAATAAGAAACAGTTAACTGGACGTTTACAATTGGTAACCCGTAGCTCCTGAATTCAGAAGCACAAATTTCAACAGCATAGCAAAGAAGAATTCACATATATTATCCGTTTTGGCTCTAGGATCACAACTAATATTTGAACCATGCTTCATTTTGCATTAAACTAGGCAATGTAATACGAGTTCCAGTGAGCGACAGGGAAGAACCATCACTTGCCATGCTCGAGAACATAGGCTTAAAATTTTTGAATTACACATGAGGATAACAGAGGCTTTTAACATATTATGCAGCCACACATTATTGCTCATCAACGAAATCACTTGCCAATTTTCATCCAGCAAGCATAGGACCAAATTCTAGTCGGTATGTTATTAGACGTTAATGAAAGCTCCAGGAGACAAGCACTACATGGTGTCAAGGCCATGGCAGTACAAAACAATTACAGAATATAAGAAACAAAGCCCAAGATCCACCCTCGATCTCATTCTTCAGGAGTATCTGAGCGGATGGCTGTTAAAAAGATCAGCAGAAGTATTTGTTAGAATGCCGAACAAGAAGAAGATGCAGCTTTTGCCATGAAAATACGACTCAAATTTAAGCAAATGACAAATCAACAGACAGCCAACCCTACCGTCTATGCCCTACACTTTTTGACTATATAAGGACCAAAATCATACAGAAATCTTGTAGAAACATAAACCTAATACTCTGTTCTTTTTTGCGTGGAGTAAACAGTTACAGTCCAACTTTTTTTTCACCAACGAAAAAGAAAATAAGTATATTGACAAGGGGATACAGGTAGATTTTGCAAGCGTGGTTCTCCTCATTCTTAATAAATCATTATCTTAAATCCGAAAAAAAAATACTACAACGGGATACAAACATGTATCCCCACAATGACGAAACCAGGAACTTCGCTAACGGTTGTCAATCTTTGATGAAATAAATACAAAAATTTATTTTGTTGAATAGGTGCATCAAAATTTTTAAATCAAACTACGTAATATTTATTTATATTATAAAAACACTTGTAGTAGAGCTAACAATTGTAAACTAACATGAAGAAGACAATAAAAAAATTTTTACTAGTGAACGCATATCTCAAATATATTATTGCAATTGTACTCGATAAGATTTCATCTTTTAAGATGTTTTTATTATTATAATAGGCTCAGAAATAGTTCACAATACTTTTGTTTCTACATAAGGCACTACACGACTCTACACGACTACCTAAAAATTCATCATCCATTTGATTCCGCTAGTCATCCCTGATAAATTTCACCACCGAAAAAGCTCTTTCAACAAATTCAGTGGCAACTGACAGAAGCAAATCAAGTTTTTACTAAGCGAAAACAAGAGGATAACTAAAGCGCTTCTTTGTCACAACTAGTTTTCTTGAAAGAGCATTAAGTCCATCTAAAATGTAGAACCTTTTATCAATATCACAAACATCAACAATGCAATTAGCAAGCTGACTCTCAAGGGCAGTTATGTTAAATTCAACGATCATATAGATATAATTCAACCATTCTCACTATCTTCTTAATGGTCAAGTTAGAAAATGAATATACTGGATTCAAATAAGATACTCTATGAAACAAATCACTTATCACCTAATCAAATTTCTTCAAGTTGCCAATTTTATAGAACACTTCCACAAGATAATGATGTAAAGTAATATGATCAATAACTTCAAACGGTGATTTTCCAATCAACATAGAACTCATCAAAATTAGGTATAATAATATCATGCTTGATACGAAATGTGACCTTATAGTTAAGCAAATCCGATCTATTATTTGTTAATGTTTGCAACCTTCCCTTTAACAAGTATCATGACATCTGAATATCTTGCTCCATTTGTCATTAAATCCAACAAAAAAACAACCTCAACATTTGATGACTTCCAAGATATTCCGATGTCTTAGCTCTTTCATCTAGAGTATTTTCATCTTCAACAAGAGTATCAAGTACATCAACCATAGAGCCAAATATAAAAATAAAATTTTCAAATGACTTGCAGAGAGATCCCCAACTAATATCATGACTCTAACAAGTCCGAGTTCTTAAGTGAAGTTTCTACCAACTTCTAGCTCACTCATATCTGATGTCTCTTATTTTTTTTTTCTTTTTTCAAATTCTCGAAATTCGTCCACGCGTTTAAAATAAGCTTTCAACACATTCAAAGTATTCGAAATCGAAATACAATGTCTCCAACTTGAACACACTTTTTAGAAACTGTGACAAGAGTTAATTAAAGTTGATGAACAAAAAATTGAATAGAATGGTCGATCTATTTTTTATACAATCAACATTTTAAGAACATTAATATGACTTTGCTTGTCTCATCATAAGATTGTCCACATACATAAGATAAACTTAAAAACAATTAAAAAATATATCAACAATAGGTTTATTTATCAATAAATCACTAATATCTTGAACATGAACAAGAACAAACATTTCCATCACAAATCTTTTTTATCATCATATTTCAAAACAATAACAGCTTGCTCTTTGCAATGACATGTCTAAAGATTCATCAACCGATAGAGCAAAATAGTCACCATTTAGATCCTCTATTATAGCCTTAGTTGATTATATCTTACATGTGGTCACAATTTCTTTTCAAATATCAGGAGTTGTTTTTTGGAGCCATGGTTGTGGAATGTCAATCCTCGATGCTAGAAAGCCTTATAACATCAATTGAAGCATTAAAGTGAAGCCTATATTCATGCTTAATCAGATTGCCTCTCATATGCAACATGAATTGATTGTTGTTGTTATAATAGATCTTCACAGTTTGTTTTTGCTAGATTATGACTGCTATACAACGTTTATAAAGAAATTGTGAAAATCTAATGCAACAGTAGTCGATTCATGTTGCATTTGACATGCAATATGGTCAAGCTAAACATGAATATTGGCTTCGTCCAAATATTTTGATTGATGTGGTAAGACTTTTCTTGAATCAAGAATTGACAATGCACGATCATGATAAAAGTGAATCGTCATTGAACGCGTTTTGATGGAAGAGGGGAAGAAAGACTATAGAAAGACTAAGTGAAGTACTTATAGGGACTTTTTTAACATTCTTCTTTCCTCTTCTTGCTTATCACCTTCTTTCCCTTTCCTCGCGTCCTAATATAACAAAGATCAAGACGAGTTGCTCCAGGTCCAAATATCTCCCTTCGAGATCGCCAGCATCAGTCTAAGTAGCTTAAGTTTTTGAAAAAAAAAAGGATAATTTTATTGAAATTCTTTCATGATACGCAAATAGATGTGATATTAAACATGTGTTGGAAAATGCTCCAAAACACAATAAGACGACTTCTCCAAAAATTCAAAAAAGAATTGTGATCGCATGTAAGATAAAAACAATTTAGACTATAATAGAGGATCTAAATACCGACTACTTTGTTCTAATCGTTGATGATTTCTTAGACGTGTCATGTAAAGAGTAAGTGGCTATTGTTTTGCGATATATTTGATAAAAAAAATTTTGTAAAGGAATGGTTAATTGGAGTTGTTCATGTTCAACATATTAGTGTTTTATCTCTAAAGAAAGCAATTGTTGATATACATGCTCATCATTCTTTAAGTTTATCTTATATATGTAGACAATGTTATGCAGCAGAAACAATATGAAAAGTAGTATCAATGGTCATAAAATGTCGATTAAACAAGAAAGTAGATTGGTTAATTCTATTCATTGTTTTGCGCATCAACTACAACTAACACTTGTTGCGGTCTCTAAAAAGTGTGTTCTAGTGAGAACTTGCATTATTGATTTTGAATACTTTGGATGTGTTGTAAACTTCTCGTGAACTTTGAAAATCTTATAAAGCAAAACTCCAATAGGCATTAGATATGTGTAAGCTAGAAACTAGTAGAGGCGTGAACAAATAATTGATCTTATAATAGACAATAATTATTTCACTTCAAGTCGTTTCGAAACTTATTTATATGTCTAGTTCTACTATTGATGTACTTGATACTCTTGTTAAAAATGCAAGTACTTTAAATGAAAGAGCTACGACATCGAGATATCTTGGACATTGTGAAAAATGTGAGCTTGCTTTCTTGTTGCATTTGATAACAAATATGTGGTGAGTTACATATGAGCTCAATGTATCCCTACTGAGAAAGGCCCAAAATACTGCAAATGTCATGATACTTGTTAAAGTAGCAAAGAGAAAACCACAAACATTAAGCAATAATGGATGAGATTCACCAAATGATAAAGTATATACATTTCAAATGAAACAAGGCATTTGATACCTAATTTTGATGTGCTCTATGTTGACTCTGGAAGATCATGATGTAAAGTCGTTGATAATACTACTTTACATTATTATCTTATGTTTAATAAAATTGTTGATTAAAAAAGTTAATAACCTAATGATTGTTTAATGACATGACAAGTGATTTGCTTCATGGAGTAGCTTGCTTGAATTCAGTTGATTTATTTTCTAGTTTTGAAATCAGAAAGATAGTGAGAATGGTATAATTATATCCTATTAATTTTGATGAATTTATCACGACTATCCTAGTGAATCAAGTTGCTAATTACACATTGATAAAAGGGTATCTGATTTAGAGGGATTTGGTGATCATTCGAGAAAACTAGTAGGGAAAAATAAGTATCTCAATTGTCCTCTTGCTTTCCACTTAAGGAAACCCGATTGCTTGTAACAGTTGCCACTACAACCGCTGAAAAAGCTTTTTCAGCAATAAAATTTATCAAGTCTCTACAGATGTTTAAACTCAAAAGCTAAGGCAAATATAAGCAATCATTGGCATAAAAAGTAACACCAAACACAAACCCAGCCAAAGAAATTAATGACCTAACTTCCATATCTACAATAAGGACACCTATTGCATTATCTTACTGATGCTATGGAGGGAGCGTAGAGGATACAAATCCACCAAAGTTCTTTTTTATTGGAATTCAGAATTTGAACTTTGATTCGAGTTCGAGATTCTACTATAGCCAGTGAATTACATGGTTCAAAATCTATTTTTGCACCTATTTAGTGAATTGTTTAACACAAATGATATGAGCCAAAGCTACCAGGTTCAAGAGAACCCATAACTGACACACTAAATCCGCCCTTGTTGAGTGAGAATGTAAGAACACTCTAGGAACTCTACCCTAGCAGAGTTAACAATAGCAAAAAGATTCTAAGAATTCAACAGATACACGCACGCACAGCCCCAAAATTCCATCATCCAGTCAGGAATCCAACCCTTTTCCATTCTAATACCCATCAAAATAAGCAAATTTGAACGAAAAACTGGAATATTATCTTAAAATCGGATCAGCGAAAAGATCTACACTTTTATGCAGCAACCAACGTTATTAATCGATAAAAGGGAAGAAGATTGAGAATGCTTACTGGGTTTTTGAGGTTTGCCGTCGACCCATTTGGAGACGGAGTAATGGACCTTCTCACGAGTCAGGGATTCGGACTTGTAAGGCTCCTTAAGGCAGTTCCTAACCAGATTAGCGCACAGGTTTGAGTATGTTATGTAAGTCATCCCAGCTGACCTCCAGAATGGTGCTGCTGCGTTCGACGCCATTTTTTCTCCGCCGCTCTCTTCTTCCTCGATCGCTTTTTTGACAAGATTACTTATACCATGGTCGAGCAGCGATTACCAAAATACCCTTAAGAAAAATGATAGTACTTCAGTATCCATTGTAATTTTCTTTGCATTTTGCACCCCTAAGGAATATGTCATTTCTTAATTGGCACTTTATTTTTATTTTTTTGGTTTCCCACCGGGTCTGGTGCATTGGAGCCCGATTATATCCGGATTCATACCACGTAGGGCCCAATTTGAGGGGAAGCGCTCCCTACCAAAAAAATTTCCATACTCAGGGTTCGAAGAGCAGTCCCATTAACTGCACCACATCCTTTATGGTCTTAATTGGTACTTTATATTTTTAACTTTTATAATTCGCTCCACAGATTAAAATAAAAAAAAACCAACTCATTTGCAAAGTGACAAAATAGGAATAATATAATTTTGGTTACATTAGTAACTCTTTGCGAAACACAGTAATCCTGCAAAAACAATTGTTACATTAATAGTGTAAATCTTTTTGGCATTATCAGTATATAGGAATAATTTAAATCTTTAATTTATCTACGCTATATTAAAAGGACGAAGGCTCTTAGCGACATGTCGTTCGTCTTTTTTACCCTTTTAAAATAGAGTTCTCACTAGACAAAATAGTCATTTAATTATTTTTCCTAATATTTAAGACATCAACTAAACTTTACTTATTCATTTTCCCTTATTTGAATGAGCAAAAGAAATCATAATATTTAGGACATCAAAATTAATTAAGTTACCTTATACAATTTAAATAATTCATTTATAAGTTTTCCCCCTTATTCTACGATACATAAAGGTTAGGAACCTCAGCAACCTCCAAAACATCTTCATTAACGACGATATTAATATCCCTCGATAAGGTTATTTACGGAAACTTAAAACAATAAGAATGAAATAGTATAAGACAAAATATTTTCTAAATAAGTTATTGTTATTTATTTTTCTTTCTTTTTGTAAATATTCTAACAAATGACAGCTCCCATATTTTTTATATTAATTTATTATTATAAATTATTGACTCAATGTTAATCATTTATAAAGTTTATGTTTCCATTTATATATATTAATTTTTTTTGTGGGAGCTACAGGTCAACCTTACCGTGATAAAAGTTATTTTTTTTTACTTGTTTGTTTGGTATTAAGGCATAAAAATAACAATAATTTTCATAAGATATTCTTATAAAACTCTAAGGATTGGAGTAGATTTGGGATCAACATATATATGTTTAGAAAGTTATGTATTTTATTTTTATTATTAGTTAAAGATATTGTTTAATACTACTTATGTGATTTTTTTTTTACAAATTATTTCTTATTGACATGGGGAACACACCGCAAAGCGTACGTAATTCAATTATTTTAATATGACAAAAGATAGTTTTGCGACTTTAGTGTTAAAGTTTAATTACTTTAATTTATGACTTTAGTGTTGTTATGATAATATTTGTGTCTACCCTTCTTTTAGGAGTTAGGTTCTAAGGTGGAAGAATATATAGCAATAAATGGTTAAGATCGCAATAAGCTTCGTTCATCTCTTGGAAAGTAGAAGGTGAATAGCTTCGTATGGTAGAGGAAAACTTAAATCTTGGTGGTTACATTTCTCAACTGCCACTTCCACTTTTATGAGCACTAGACCTCTTCTTAAATCTATTGTGTTGTTCAACTAACCATAATTCCTAGTTGGTGAAGTTATGGTGGAAAATAAGTAAATAGAAACTTTTTTTTTTTGAGATGTTGTCCGGTTGGATAAAACAATGAAGAAAAGAGAGATTTCTGCTCTCAACTATGTTTCTCGGATAAAAATGAAAATTTAGAGGTCGGTTTTGTCATCACATTAAATTATAGAATTAGGGTTTTTGTTGAAAAATAACTTATATTTTTAGTCAAAAATATAATTAACTCGATCGCTATTTAATTTAATTAAATGACCGATGAAAGGAGCGGACTCACATAATTGAACCCGCTTCGTAAATATTTTTTTACTATTTATGTGTGTAAATTATTTTTTGAATAGAAAAGATACTATAAAAATAAAGCAATTGAATCCGCTTAACCAAAGTTGTGCTTGGTCGGATGGTTCAAGCGGGGTCAACTTCTGTCGCGTGTTTGAACCCAAACTTCAGCATTATTTGGGTTCTTTACACTTTTTCAAGCTCATTATCAACCCTTCTTCTTTTTTTGTTAATTTTAGTCTAGTCTCTTTTCATAGTTATGGAACTTTCTTTATGAAATTATTAATTTAGCTTAGCTCTTTTCTATTTTATTTGGTAACAGTTAGTGCAAGTTAAAGTAAAATTAATAAATAAAGTCTAGTATTATAAATATAGATCAAACTTATGTTTGTTATAGTAAAATTTTCTGAAGTTTAATAACTTGTCAAATTGTAAAGGTAAATAGATTAGTTGTTATAT